GGATTCTAAGTGATCAAGGGCTTAGGATGTTCCAATTCAGCCCATTGCAAGGGTTCCTCCAGTAGTGGGCACTCATGCAACGTAATCAATGATGTACATCCAAGTAAATGAGACGGAGGGAAGTTTGCGAGTGAAGGGCATAAAAAATGGTCTGGAACACAGCCCTGTGCGCCTCTTGATGTCAGGGGAGTGATGTTTACTGCACAGCTCTTACCAGAGATCTTACTATAGGGAGATGAGGGTCTATTACTTACTGTTGGAGAAAGCGTAATGGCTAACTTGGATCACATGTGCCTTAATAACCAATCACAATACAGCCTTGACATCACTGAATTTCAGTCAGACTTGCCTTGCCTTATAAAACAGCATTTTTTTTCATGATAAACTCTAAAAATAGTTCAACTCAAAAACATTTTTTAGTGTAAAACATGTTGAAGATTAGCTGATAGGCTGTCGATTCATTAAATGATAAGCTGTTTCCTCTAAAAAGTTGGTTTATTCAGCGTAGTGAAGCCTCTCCTCCATTGACATTTATTAAAAAAAGAATGGCTTCTGGTCTCCTTTACCACGTACTGCCAAACCGGAAGCGTTAGCATTAGCCGCAAGGTTATTATAGTTTTGAATTTTTAAATTAGTTTTATTTTAATTTCGTTTTTCAAATTTGCTATAAAATTCAGTTACATTTGTATTAGTTTCATTAATATTGTTGTTAGTTTTAGTTTAGTTTTTATTTTGTGAACACATTTTTTATTTAGTTTTTATATAGTTTAAAGACTTAACATAGCCTTAGTGAGGCAAACATCTAGCGTTTGTAAAAGTATAGAAATATACGCCAAAATGAAGCAGTCAAGCCTTTTTACTAAATAAATCTTCACAAGTTGTGCTTAATGTCATATCTAATGATGTGTATTGAGATATTTAATATGTAAATAAATGTAGCCTAATTTGGTTATGATGGTTAGATGTCTTTTTTCGTATTTAACCATAATCCTGATGTTGTAACTGCCGTGTCTTGCTCACTTTTCCATGAACAACTGCGCATAAATCATAACTGGGACTAATGAAAT